GACCATTAAAATAAACTTATTTGAAATTAGTTTCAATACCAAATTGATGCACCCCGTATAAAGATTTTGGCTGATCCGAAAGGCATCAAGTGTATAATGGAATAGTCGATGCTACACATTGTATATGACAGAAAAACAAGCCATCATGAATAAGTTTGAACTTTGAAGGAATTCAATACTACGTAGTATCAAATGACCATCTTGGCCCACCTCTTTAGATGGATCAACCTATAAAATCACGATTGTACTACATGTAGTTAATGATTTACATACACATAATGTAATGAGATATAATTGAATCGAAATTTTTCCAACCAAAAAAGGGAAAAAAAAATTCTTCACTCTCTTTTTGACACTTCATATGTATTTAAACCATTATATATCTCCTTATTTACAAGTAAAATTATTTCAATACCAAACAAGGGTACCTGTCCTTGACACCTCTACTTATAACAAATAATAGCAGTGCAAAGTGAAGAAAGGACTTGCATAGATGATTTGCAGTCTTCGGATCTTTCGGAAATCAGATATTTTTGTTCTTTATAACTTTTGCAATATTTTCTAGGAAAAAGTAGTCACAATTTAAAGCTGAAGAGAAGTGAAAATTTGACCAAACTTGTAAAACCAAAATTGAGCATGAATAGCCGGCTCATTATGTAACTCAGTGGGATAAGATGAAAATGTTAAGAATAAAAACTGATACTTGACAAGCTCTATCCGCTACTCAAGACCTCTAATTCTTCATGCTGGCTGGATAGTGACAGGACGATCCAAAGTAGCTGAACAGTAGCACAAGCAGCTAATGCAATTCAACTTGGATGGAACTAGAGACATTCACTGTGTCACAAGAACAAGCTTTCAGAAAACTGGTTGATGAATGGCAAACATTCTATTCTAATGGAATATTCATTGGTGGACCGTTGGTTAATCTAAACCTGTTGAGAAACACAATGAGATAAGTACATAATAAAATAAACTTTACAAAACAACCCCATTAACAGTTGGGCAGTCAGCTGAGATGCGAGTATCTCTTTAAAGAGATCCAAGCCAGTATAAAGATTTCAAGCACATTGTGCAGCAAAAAAGTCCATGAATTGTCTCCTCTAGAATCAAACAACATAACTGAAACGTGTATAGCCCAAACATACACGTAGGTCAAACTCAAACCTCCACCGGAAAAATACAATTCTTTGATTAATCGTACTCTCATAACAAAATATAATATTATATCAAAGTGCATGAAGCATAGAGTAGTGTACAAAAAAACTTTTGTATTAGTGAGTTAATTATAGGTGTTTTATCATTTATGCCCTTAGAATTTATAAAGAAATAATCCTCCACTATCTGATGATGTCAATAATAATTCTTCATGTATCTCTATGACATATATGATCAAGGTCTATCATCTCTGCTGTAATTTAGTAACACCACCACTAACACAAGAATAAAAATACTCATCTCCATTAACAAATATATTCTAATAGTAAAATGTAACAACAGTACTAGTAAATAAGAGCAACTTTAATTTATAAAAGTAATTCTGTAAGCAGGTGATGCATTCAACTTTCACCAGTCCACATACAACCAATTATGGAAACACTAGAAGAATCAACATGCAGCTAACTGCTAGGTCTAATGTGAACTTCTAAACCAATTACTTGCGGATGGGAAAAAAAGGAACTTCTATTGGTAAAATAAGCCATAAACACTTGCCCACGGTTAGATAAATACCCAAATCCAGGTATTTACTCAGTCGACCTATCGAATAAAAATGCAGTGTGGAGTTTATAATGTATGTTTAACTCTGTGACTAAGCTTATGTAGAGAATTCCAGTATTCAATCTTGACTACGAGTTTTGCAGAACAAATTAGGGAAAGATCCATTACCTTTGGATAAAGATGATCCATGCCCAAGTGCCCAAATGAAACTTAAACCAAAATTCAGCCCATTGTTGTTAAGATTCAATAATTAATGGTAACTCCATTGAGGTAAGTGAAAAAGTGAATATTTTTGCAATGATGCATCTCACAACACCCATATTTTCTGAAGAAGATTTCTACTTCAGATTTTTTAAAACCTCCCCTAAAACTAGTCCCCACTGTGTCCAATGCGTGCCACCCTGTGCAAGAAAATTCAAATAACACGAAATTCAGTTCCCATGATGCAATATTTTTGACTGATATTTGTCACTTTTCAACTTGCAATATTTCAGTATCATGAGTTCATTTATTCCTTTCATAGAAGAAAGAAGTTTGTATGTCCTTAGTAAAAAGTGGAAGAGAACATAGACAACAGACCTGACAGAAAACGGCAAATGGTTCCCTCAGTGGTCCATCACAGGAGAGTTCACTTGTACTTCCATCAATAAACGTACCATCAGCAAAGATCACCTATTCCATGAATAATTTTGCAATCAATATTAACATTGATTAACATTACTTCATGTAGCCCAAGCAAGAAGCACTTCCATCCTATCCAACAATGATCATTATAATATTTAAACCACAACAATCTGTGCTTGCTTATAAAGGGGCAACCATATTCATAGATCAACAAGGCTGGATTGTAAAAGGGAAGGGAATAGAAAAAGAATAAAGGTGAGAAAGGGATTGCCAACAGTAATATCCTGGCACAGGTAAGATTGTTCATGGATGGGCATAGAACTGAACTTTGGTGAACCTCAGACTTATTAGGTCTTCATAACGGGTTATTTTCTCAAGCTAGCCATTACAGACCATCTGTGGCAGTGCAGTACATGCCTTTTGGAAATCAGTTTTTTATAATACCAGCGACTGGAAGAAAATTAGATGAGCCATCCCCTATATCCAAGAAGAGAACCATACCTCAGATGCATAGCCAGGAGTTGCACCTGCAATGGGCTTGGTAAAAGAACTAACTGGAGAACTTCTCTGCACAGCCTCACAGAAGGCCAGAAGCCTCTCACGACTTCCAAGTTGTATTGCCTGAAAGTACAGCAAAGCATTTGCATTTCTTTACACAAACTATCATTCACATTTGTACATGAGTCCATTAGAATGGCAAAGAAAACGTGCACCTGGTTCATTTCGCTTAGGCAGCAATTATAAAGATGAGCATGTATCTAAAATGGGGTTTGGCACTTAACAACCAATTCAGAGAAATTAGTTGATGGACAACTTATATGAAAATCGTTACAACAAACTTCCAAACTGAAGAGAAAGACAATATTTTTCTTGTATATTACGAGCTATACGTCGTCCTCTCTATAGTACAAAGAAGGGAAAAATAAAAGGAAAGAAAAATTGCCTACCAAATCTAAAGATTACAATAATCAATCAATTAATTAATTACTACTCTAACTATGGAAAGAAATAAATAATTCCTAAACCCATTTCTAAAATTATCGTGATTTCACCACTTCCCCTCAAGTTGGATCATAAATATTTATCATATCCAACTTGAAAATGAAATCATCAAATTTCTGTCTTGATAGTCCCTTGATAAAGATATCTGCAGTTTGTTCTTGCGTAGGAACATAGGTCATGCAAATGGTTCCCTCTTCAACTTTTTCCTTTATAAAGTGTCTGTCTACCTCTACGTGTTTTGTTCGATCATGTTGAATTGGATTAAGAGAGATATTGATAGCTGCTTTGTTGTCACAATAAAGTTTGATTGGTGACTTTATTGTGACATATAGTTCTTCTAGGAGCTTCTTTAACCATAGTCCTTCACATATTCCTTACGCAACTGCTCTAAATTCGGCTTCGACACTACTCCTGGCAACTATGTTTTGTTTCTTGCTCCTCCAGGTTACCAAATTTCCCCATACAAATGTACAGTAACCTGTAGTAGATCTCCTATCATCTGTTGATCCGGCCCAATCTGCGTCTATAAAGACTTCCACTCCTTTTCTTTCATCCTTTTTTAAGAATAGCCCCCTTCCTGAGGAGCCCTTGAGATATCTGAGTATCTTATAGACAGCTTCTAAGTGACTTTCCTTTGGAGAGTGCATATGCAGACTTACCAAACTAACCGAAAATGCTATGTCAGGCCTGGTGTGTGATAGGTAAATCAGTTTTCCAACCAATCTTTGATATCTATCTATTTCTACAAGATTTCCTTCGTTGCCATTTTTTCTTCCGATATCTATGGGTGTATCACTTGGTTTACATCCTAGCATGCCAGTTTCAGTTAGAAGATCGAGAACATATTTCTGTTGTGATACACTAATACCTCGTCTTGATCTAGCAACTTCCATTCCCATAAAATATCGCATTGATCCCAAGTCCTTTACTTCAAATTCAGTGGCAAGACTTGTTTTTAGTCTTTCCATTTCTGCTCTGTTGTCTCCTGTCAGAATGATATCATCAACGTATACGATTAGAATAGTTTTAGTACCATCTACAAATTGCCGCAGGAACATAGTGTGATCTGACTGTCCTTGACGATATCCTTGATTTTTCAACACTTTTGCAAATCTATTGAACCATGCTCTTGGTGACTGTTTGAGTCCATATAATGATTTCTTTAGCTTGCATACTAGATCTTTTTCCTCCTCCTTACAAAAGCCTGGCTGTAATGTCATAAACACTTTTTCCTCCAATTCCCCATTCAAGAATGCATTTTTAATATCAAGTTGCTGAAGTGGCCAGTCCAAATTTGCTGCTATTGATAGAAGGACTCGAACTGTATTCAACTTTGCTACTGTTGCAAATGTCTCTGTGTATTCAATACCATAGGTTTGAGTATATCCTTTTGCAACCAATCGGGCTTTATACCGATATATTGTCCCATCTGCTGTGTATTTTAAGCTGAAACCCATTTACATCCCACGAGTTTCTTTCCTTGTGGCAACTCCATCACTTCCCAAATTTCATTTTTCTCCAATGCACGCATTTCTTCCAAAACTGCCTCTTTCCATTCTAGAATTTCCAATGCCTCCTAAATATTCCTTGGAATAATTGTATTGTCAAGGCAAAGTACGAAATTCTGAAGATAGAGCAATATATGACATGAATTTTGAGATAGGGTGTTGAGTGCATAACCGTGGTTGTTTTCTGAGGGCAATGGGTAAGTCAATATCAGATATCTCTGATACTTTCTGAGGTGGAGCTACCATCGGTTCTGATTCTTTTGGTGCTTCAGTCATGAGATTCTCTATGTACTTTGATTTTGGCTTTCGTGAGTAAACTAATATTTCCTTATCCTTCTGTTTTTCTATGTCTCCCCCTGTATTCAAGTTTTCCTTTGTTAATGGCATATTAGCATCGGATGGAGGGATAGATAGAGCAGGTTCAGGAAAGGAGAGACTGAAATCAAAGAACCGATCTTCTGTTAAGATCTCCCACTGAAGAGAGGTTTTTTCAAAGTACGGTTTATTTTCGAAGAAAGTGACATCAAGACTTACAAATGTTCGTTGTGTGGAGGGATCATAGTATTTGTATCCTTTTTGTATAGGAGAATAGCCAATTATGACACATTTAATTGCCCAGGGATCGAGTTTGTTTCTTTGATGGGGATGGGGATGGACATGTACGAAGGCAATACATCGAAACACTCGTAGGGATAGATTGGAGCTAAGACGAGAAGTTGGAAAATATTTTCGGAATTTTTGGACGGGAGTTTCAAAATTTAGGGCTCGATTAGGCATTCGGTTGATGAGGTAAATGGATGTAAGGACAGCATCCCCCCAGAATATTTTAGGCATGTTTGTAGTGAACATTAGAGCACGGGCGACTTCTAATATATGTCTATTTTTTCGTTCAGCAATCCCATTTTGTTGGGGAGTATCAACGCATGAACTTTGATGAACTATGCCATGTGTTCTGAGATAGTCGCCTAAGATGTTATTGACGTACTTTGTGCCATTATCAGTGTGTAAGATTTGGATTTGGGTTTCGAACTGCGTTTGAATCATAGAGTGGAAGTTGACAAACACGCCTCGAACTTCATATTTATCTTTTAGTAGGTAAATCCAACAAATTCGAGTATGATCGTCAATGAATGTAACAAACCATTTAGAGTGAGTACGATTTGGAATCCGTGAGGGACCCCATACATCGCTATGAATCATGGAGAATGGCTTTGATGGTTTGTATA